ACCCACGACCAGGACGGAAACCAGCTTGTTCTTCCCGGTACTGCAATTTACGAAAGGGTGAACGTCTACGGAGTGGAATGGACGCGAAAAGTTTGGAGGCAATCGAAATGAGACTAATCCCCCGATGATTAGTGCATGAATTGCGAGCACTCTTACAAATCGGGACAATAACTGACTCGCCCTAGGAAGAAGGAACCTTCTCTTCATGCCAGATTTTGGAGAACAATGGGATTAACTGGCTGATGATAACTGCGCCTCCATACTTGAACAGCTCCGGAGGAAGTCCGTCTGAGCCGCCAGCCTTGAATCGTTTCAAGTGTCGAATTACAAGACGAACTTCTGCATCACTGGGCGGAGCAAGTGCGATGACCCAGGACGAGCGGCTTGGTTCGCAGGGCATACGAATGGACGGTGAGGGCCAATTGAACTGGGAATGAAAATGTTCGGCCCATCGATCCAAGCGTAGGTTGACAACCGGCGAACCATGTGCTTCCCAACTAGTCTCACTGACATCGGGCTTTTGTAGCCAGTGGATCGAATGAGGCGAAAGAGCTTACGAGTATTGTCTAACGGGGCATCGGCCTCCATTTCCGAAGCGCACTAAGACCAGCAGGCTTCATGATCACGGTGTAGGCTTCGTTTGAACTGCCGATTGACAAAACGGCGCACTTCATTATGGTTGGACTCCACAGGGATATTCCCGCGACGATCAAATAAACCTAGAGAGCACGTGGAGATCCAGGCCTTCGTAGGGTGCTGAGTAAGACCACATACTAACTGCCCGGAAGATATCATGGAAGCTTGATAGCTCTGCTGAACCGAGAGAGCAGATAACTTATTTGTATCCATCTTACAATGCTTCGTTTTTGGGGACTCTCCGAAGCTCATGCAGATAGTCGCACAAACAGGAGCATGGTCTGAGTCAATACATATGGGCCAGACTAATTTGCAATCTTTTACTCGACCACGCCATCTGAAACTGATTGCGATGTGATCAATCTGAGACCAAGGTTGGGAAGCAGAAGGTCGCCAAGCAGCGGAACGTCTCTTCTAATGCAGAAAGCTGATGCTCGACAGAAATAAACGATTGTCTTCGCACAATGTGAGAAGTCTCCCCATTATCTGAGCGGCTCTCATCGAGCGCATGGTGACCACCGAGGTGACTTTCGCATGATAATAAACGACCGACCCGTGCGTTGAGATCCCCAGCAAGGACAACAATATCGGATTTGCAAGCTCTGCTCAAGAGTTGGTGAAGTTCACGGTAGAAGTCATCGTTGACCGAGTCGGGACTACAGTCAATGGGACCGTTATCAGAGACCACAAACAAGTTGCATTTCTCCTCACGATATCTGTATATTCTGCATGATCCCCGAAACCGAACTGCACATAGTCGGCTATTAATCAGAAACCAGTGCGGCTTGACTGGTTAGCGCCACACCAACGCCAGCTAAGCCTGTCGCAGCTGATTATGTGTCACCAAATAGACGTAGGTGAAACATGGCTCCGCGGTCGGTGGGAGATCTCAACTCCAACACAGTACTGGTGTCTTGCAGGCGTGTTTCAGAATGATAGCAAACATCGATGGCAAGATGCGCGTAAGTGTGTGTATATGATCTCGACAGTCTGACAACTAGATACAGAGCCAACAGAAAACCATGGAGATTAGAGGATAAGGGAGTTATCGCGTCAAGACCAGCCTGCTGCCCGATCCGCATAAGTGTATGTACATTGAAACATGCCAGTCGGAACGAGGATGAAGAAGGGGCTACTGGACGAACTCCGTTGGTGTCGACGAAATCATCGGGAGTGGAATCAGCTGGTATTAGACAATAGTGATTGGTAACAAGTGAACGGGTGAAGTTAGCTGAGCGCGATATATCAGACGAAGAATCCATGGTTTTGTCAGTGGGCGAGATACTACCCACCTGCCCAAGCCTAAGCAGGGAGTTGCCTTAGGGGGCACTACCCCGAGCCTTTAGTTAATTAGCCTATTCATAAGGCAGCGGTGTGAGTTAAGGAAATCGCCCGCATTGGAGGCGGGAAGTGATTTATCAGATCATACGCCTTTAATTTGTTCGGTCAACAAATGAGGGCCTAAGCATACTCGGTATAGACATGTCCTGAACACTAAAAGCCTGTTTTGTCCCATCTACACTGCAAGCATTCGTTCGCTCGTTTACCTGGTAGGCTGACTTAAGCTCGCACCTTAGTGTTCACTCAAGCCTGGATTTCGACCCAGCGAACGACTGCCAGTTTCAAAACAACGGTCGACGAGGGAACTGATAGATCCGCCATCTAGATGTGGTACTTTGCAAGCTTAGGTTCGTATTTTAGGTGCTAATAGTTATCACCGGAAATCGTTTAGTTCACTGAGCACTCACTAATTAGTTGTCACTTATTGTGAATAATCAGTAGTGATTAGGTAGCTAGTTAGATGTTTTGTAACTGATGATTTCGTTAGTAAATTTGTTTGGCGACAGATTGATGACACAATCCTCGTGCCTACATTCACTCTTCGTGAAATTCCATTTTGCCCCTTGGGGGTTGAGAACAACTGGCCTAGACGGAGTCCACGGAATCGGCCACATAAATGGCTAGAGGCACTCCCCAGTAAGGCGCAGTTGCGAATGGAATGGTGTCACTACCATCGACCAATTTCTACTACCTAATAACTCATCAATCAGTCAATGGCATCTTTTGTCCATTCCGCTTCTTTCGGATTTTCGTCAATGTTCCCCCATAATTTTCTAAAGTGTAGTAAGTTGAGATTGTAACAGTCATGCAAAAAGTAGGAGACGAGCTCAACGCATGCGAGTGGCTGACTCAAACCGAGAAGAATGGGACATGGTCGATCATACGCTGGCTACAAGCAACTCCATTCAATGCAAATGTCGTTTCCCGGTGCATGTGAGATTGAATTAATTCAACAGCGCTTTTTATCGTTAGTGGCGAAACGCAAGGTAGTGAACACACTGTACTACCTGGTCGGAATGTGCTCGGCAATCCGCATCACGACGTACATGAACTATCGCGATTAACTGGGTTGCCAGTATTCGGTCCATCGGCCTATATTGGATCTATGAATTTACATCGGATGTATATCCTGATCCAGGAGCCGGAAATGCGGGTCGCTGATTACTATTTGGGATCCACTTTTAATTTCCATCTGTCCGTTTTCCAGTCTTGCTGCTTCACTAAGACGAGATCCCTAATCTTTGCATGTACGTCATGTAACGCAGGAGTGTATTGCCCAAGCAATGAAATGAATGTGCACTCGCGTACCCCATTTGCCGAGCACAATGGATTGCATGTATCTGAACAAGTGCATTGAACGGAGTCGCAGATGAAACTGTTACTGCAAACAGGGTCGCTTCTTTTTTGTTTCTTCCGCAAACACAGCCCTACCTTGACTACTGCTTTCTTGGACCATTTTCGCCTCCACACCAAACGATCCGTAAGTTTTCTTCGTATCTGATGTTTCGCAGAAACCAGATTTGATGTTCTTGCCCATGCTTCCAACTGCAATGGAATAACTGAACTAGTGTTTGCTCTTCCTTCATTTAGACAGAGTCCGAGACTCAGAAGCTATAAACCGGACTTCCGAAACAGCCATAGCCACTATGTTATACAGGGAGTGATCAGCACCGCCATTGTAAAGGTTAATGGCCATCGAAACGAGACTTCATCCGAGACTCAAACACTAAATGGATCAATGCGATACGGACGCATAATAATTAGTGTGATTATACACGCTAGCTGCAGGTGTAAAACACATCTATGGTGCCGCAATACAAAAAAGAAAGAGATGAAACAGTGGCACGCCGGCTGAGTCACCAGTAACGGATTGACATCGTTCCGGAGAGCTACCAGCCGGCTACTGTGCTGCAAAGTCATATAATGTCTATTAATTGAGATCGTGATTGGACGGGAAGGCTAAGCGGAGGGGGACGGACAAAGGAATTCACAACAAAAACGCCACTGAAGTTTGCCCCTAGCCATCTCAACAAGTGTATCCAAAAAACGTGTTCACCGTCCTTCGGTCCCCAACCAGAGAGCCGAGGCCCCATTCATTCCACTTGACCAAATCATCGCCTGAGCACCACTCCTCTTCTTCCATCCACACCCCCGGTGCGCAAACAACGCAAGTCGCGGAAGTCAGTGGGCTGGCATGCGCAACAGGTGGCCCAACCATCGGAGCCCGGTGTGTGAAATAACGGTGCTGACCGGTTGATTTCCTTTTCCTATGCCATAAACAAGATTTCGAACACGGTCATCACTCACACGGTGTTCCCACCAGACATCAGCCAAACTGCGAAGGTACCCGTGGTCGCACGTAACTAGCCACTTTGTGTCCGTTGATATAAGGGGCCAGGTTTCACAACTGTACAGTAGGACGCAAGGAAATTACTCATGACCGGAAGTGTTTGAAGTATCCCATGGAATTAGAGAATATAGCCACCCGGAGCGTGATTCTATGGTCGATCACAGGGGGGGATTGGCAGCAGAAAAGTGTGCATCAAGGCCGATGCTAGTCGTATCATGTCGATGGATAGAGCGAACCCAATGTGCTAGACCCCATGGAATCCCAGTTGCGTACTGTGATAACGGCAATAAACAAGCATACAGGGATGCGACGATCGAAAGAGCAGGTTTGTGCAAGATGGAATATTGCAACCCTCCAGAGTGGTGACATAAAATACCTCAACTTCGTTAATTCGGCTCAAACCACTGACAAACGGTTGTGGTAGTCCCGACTAGAACAACGCATCGTGTCTTCTAGAAAGTTTCCGGGCTACTTGTATGAAATAGTAGGTTAAAAATTGATGCAAAAAACTTAAGGGTTTGCACTTAACGATTTAGCTGAATTATTCGGCGGAACTGAACCACCACGGTAAAATTGGTAACACACAGCACCTCAGGGTTCGCGAAAATAAGAAGCCCAACCGTCCATCGGACGGTCACGAACAACGACTCCTGACACTCGACTCAATAGGTTGAGGTTGTGAGTGTGTAATATCAGGGTAAAAAGAATCTAGGACACAGGGCGTTTGTGCTGCTTTTTGCAAAATAAATACGTGCAATTCAATCTGTATGTCTATAAAGTACACAACTGTACAATTGATCAGAAATAACTACGATTCAATTACGGCAGCATTACACAATGGTAGAAGTTGAGTTCAGTAGGAAAATAAGATACTTCGAGAAAGGGAGCGAAAGTCAGGTGCTGCACACAGCAAGGGACCGGGGCGACTGTGCTTCAGTAATAGAGCTGATCATTTTGTCAGCAATGGCAGCAGTGTCCAACCGAAGGGTTCTCACTGCTTTGGTAGTGGATCAAACCAGAACAAACCCGAAGAAATAACCATTCCAAGATACACCGAGACAAGTGTACGAGAGCAAATGAAAATATTACGCGTTAAGAAAAGACTCGAGTAGAGTCATACGATGTCATCGGAGAAAGACAAATTCGGTAACTGCTTCCTTGTTTCAATCGCATCCATCAGTTCTTGGAGAGCTGTTTGTCTGAAAGACATGAAAGAAGAAAGATAAGTAAGAGAAAATGATTAAAAAAACAGGTATGATAAAAAGATAGTGGATATTTACTATGGTGAAGTGCAGTTTGGATGGCCCTATATCGGTTAATGATAGCAGTCGAGGAGCGCTTGGATATCCTGCGGCTTAGGACAACATGCAAGCAATTGCGTCGCGTTCTACGAAATATGGTTTGTTAACAACCAACAGAAGGGAAACTGGAAAAAAGGAAGCAGCGGCAATGAATGCATTGCCGATAATAAGCATACTTTCATTTCAGCTTTTGGATGCAGGATATTCTTAATTAAGTCTTCAAGAATCTTCATCAACTTATCGTGCATAGAATGGCAAAGAATGCAGTTGTTAACAGCAGTTCGTATCAAACATAAATAGTTATGGGAATGCGAAAGAAGAAAGGACACGCATCAGATACGTACAAGAGACGATCATAGCCTTACACTGACTATACACATCCCGGTTGTATGGGGGCATATTTGGAAACCATAAACAAATAGTGTCTAGTGCTATTCCGTGAATCAACCTTAGTCGATGTCGTTAAACGGACCGCACCCAAACGGCTGTTCAGGGGAATCCAATCAAACAAAAATGACTCGGCGTTGAGGCCCACTCCAGCTTGACCAGTGATTGCCGCATCAGCGTCTCCGGATGCGTGCAACGAATAGCAAGAGGACGAGCTGGGAGCAAGAGGAACAGATGGAAAAGTGCTAGCAGTAGCATGTTTTCGCTTATCCACCCTACTGTATGCAGCAGATAAGGCCACCCTTGATAAGCTGCGCGACGGCCGATACAGGATGTGGTTGAAATTTGAAGAAATAGTCATGGTTGTACGTGGGCTGAGATAGTGCCGAGAAGGTAGCAACGATTTGGTTTTATAAAAATGGACGCCATTGCATTTCTAACCCACAACTTGGAGGACCAGGAGACTGAGTTTGTCTGATCTCTAACCATTGACCAACCTGGAGTAGCTCCCAAGGGGCCTAGGAGCATCACACAGTATAGCTCAATGGGTCAAAGAGGTACGCAAACCGCCGAGCCACGTTAAGGTCCAGTCTCGTCGCGACGGATTAGCAACTACACGTTGGTGGTGAGCGGATACCATGACAAATTATAAAGCAATTAGTGGATTTGGCTCTGTACGATGGGATGAGAAGATAGAAGCATTTGTTCTAACAGATGTTAAACATACGGAAGCAATCGTGAAATAAGCACGAGGGATAAAACCATAGTGTTGAACTTACTTTTCGCGATGAATGGCTAGTTTGGCTTCGCTGATACGCACCAGCGCACGCAACTTCTTAGATTCCGCGGACAACTCGCCGTACAAAACGCTCTGAAGTCTGTCGAACTTTCGCGCCTCTAAAAGGGCCTAAAAATTAGAAAAAGTAAAGGCGAAAGAGCGCAATTTGGTTAAAAGTAAAAAACAGATATCAAGCGCATACACAGCGGTGTAATAGAAATAAAGTTTCCAAAAATAGTAATAACACAGTGAATTTAAGGAGAGCGGGCAAAATAGTAAAAGCGACAGATGAAGCAACTAGGGGTTAGAAATAAGTGAACGGAGTTTGGACATACATCAGATTCGATCTGACACTCAATCACTGATGAAACCGATTCCGAGGCCCTAATTCGGAGAGTGGCATGTAATAACACCACCTAACCCTTCGCTGAGTTTCCTCATGCTTGCATGTATGTCACGTCAGCAACAAGTCAATTCGTTGGTTTCCCTGACCATGTGCAATACTGGTGAAGGACACGCGCCGAGGCAACAGAAATGCAGAAACCATAGTAGGTGCCAGCGATCCAACTCTAGCAGACCCTTCAATAGCACACCAGACGTTCAGTAGTGAATAAATAACACGGGATTTAGTAGTGATCCATCGGCACTCCAATAGACACTTGGGTAATGTCATCGGTAAAACAAAATAACGATCCCTTAATGCATAGAGTGCGCAGTTGTCATGTACCTAGCCAATAAAATAACCACAACCGCACATAGGGTTCCACACAACCCTCCTTACTGATACGTTTATACCCTGTCGTAACCAGGAGTGACTCGGGTTATGGAAAGCCACACAAGCCTCATCGATGAACCCAGTAATTTCTCAGAGGATGTGATCACAGGTGAAACAACTAGATGACTTGATGGACCGACCCGTTTGACTGTTCGGCGATTGTGGAAACTGGCAGCAAGTCGGTTCAATTATGTAACAGCAGCACGCAATTATGAGTTGCGAAAGCATATTGAGGCGTGTGGTGTCACGTATTATTCCACCCGAGCGCATGAATATTAGCTGCATCCGACCCTAAAGGGACCAAGTCGCTTACCAACAGAGCAGTCACCACAGAAGGGGAAGAGCGTAGAAGATAGACATGACTATTTTAACCACAGTCAAAGTGAGAGGAAAGTCAGTCATTTCCGATACACTCCAACTGTGGTGGGAACAACAAGGAACTGATTTTACCCTAACTAAACAATCTCCGGAAATGCGCTGATGAAACTAGAGAAGAAGAGTTTTAAGAAACGTCATTCGGAAATAAGTATATCGACAGAAATACACGATCAAGAGATGCAAGTGGTTTACAAGTAAGGGATGGCTCTAATGATAGACTCTTTAAATGATGACATTAAACACCTTGCAAAACGTAAATATGCGGCTGAAATGACGATCGCAAGGGAGCGAATTAGCCTCGCAGTTACCAAGATCACTTCTCAAGGGCCAGTAAATTCCCGCGTCGGAATGCACTATAACAGCTTGCATGCAATGGAGATCACATTAATTTATCAGTATGTTCTACACAATGATGTTTGGCCAGTATGAGGCCGAAATAACACTCGATAACCACAGAAGCATGCGGAGTATCTATGTATCTAACGGCGCCAGACGCAAAAACTAAGCAAATTATCGCCATTTAGCAATTAAGGATGAAATTCGTCAAGATACTGCGTCCGTCACTGAATATTTAGGCTGCGACAACCTGCGTATTTCTTCGATTCGTTGAGCCGTGCTGAGTGGTAACTGGTTGCAACAAGAGCTATACCAATCATAATGGTCAAAAGTGGGAGGTCAAACGGCACTTCCCTGGGCTTCAAAGTTGAATGAAATGACATAGTTATGTAAAAATGGCCAAGACTATGGACAGTGCACACACAATCAACACTCCGAGATCAGCCTTCTGATCCCAAAAGCTTAACAGAGGAACCACACTCATTCTCCTATCTAGTACGTTTTTTGTAAGTGTAACGGTTGATGCGAATCGTTGTGGTCATCAAGAGTCGCGGTAAAACACACAAGACACCAGCACATCATGCCGACGCTTCGCTGTCACGTGACCACTAACAGTTGCGTGTGGGCTGGGGAACTGCTAGGTCGTCCGCGCCTGTGCAGAATTAGACGGATGACTTTCGTGTGACAAGGCGGACGCTCCATCCTGTAGACCACCAGCTGGATGAAATAATGAGAGTGCATTCAGAGTAAGACAGACTAAAACCCGTGACTGAAGCTTCTCACTCCGATGCCTACAAGCAAAAAGGTATCACGTGGACGGAGCTTGTTGACTAATATGTGGAAAATGTGGTTACAGTAATTGGATCTTGGTAGTCGTCCGCCAATCGATCCATCCAACAGTCATAAGTGCTGTGGATCAACTAGAGAAAATAAAATAACCCTAAAGTAGTGGAGCAGTGGCCACCAACTTTATTGCAAAAGGCCCAAGACCCATCGTTTACGCATAAAAAAGAGCCTCTTGCATTCGTTTCGCAATTTCCAACTCTTAACTGCTCTACCTAATGTTTCTGTTTCTTGTAAATTTCCCTTGCAATTATCACTGTTAATTTAGAGACGCGTGTCAAAGCAGATGGATCTAGTGTGGACGCTGGTGCATAAATCTCAGCCGAGGTGAACAAGTGAAGCGAAACAAAACGAGTGGGCTCGGCAGACACGGTGACCATAAAATTGCAGACCGGTGGTCGTCAGCAAGAAAGTTGCACTGAGGATGTTATCTAAACTGGCAACAGAATGTTTACAAATAAAACGTCCAGATCGGAGAACAACCCAACATCTGCAAACACACCCCATAAACAATAAGTATTCACAGAAATAGAACGAAACCGGAGTTGGACTCAAATGCACATGAAATATAGCGGAGAACTATACGAGAGAACGCTAACAAATACTGTGAGAAAGAACATGTTGCTGCAAGCAAAATGACGGCACACGTATTGACATAGATTAGTATCCCTACCTCCTGTTCTAGACGGTCGACAGTTTTGTCGGAGAATTTAGTCAGCATAACTGGGTCAATGAAACTTTGAGTCCTAGGGGAATTGAGAATTTGAGTTAGTCGGTCACAATGTTCTTCATGTGAAGGATCATCGGAGGAAAATGACATGTTGTTAGACCTGAGAGGAGCGGAATCATCAGGAACGTTAGCACAAATCGGCGCGTAGGATGAAGGGCAGGAAGGATTAGAAGTGGAGACTGACGAAGCCGCGATTGAGTCGCAGACAACGAACGAGTTGCGCCGAATGTCTGATCTGGAATGAACCAATGGCGATGCTTCGCAGCTACTGAAAAGAAAATAAAGCAAAAAGACAAGGGGATTAGCACCAAAAGTAAACGCAAGTAGAGGCAGAGGAAAGTGTTGTAAGGCCATTTTGAAACAAAATAACGCGAAAAGATGTCATCTAGTGGAATGGTAGTTAGCAATGTAAGTGAATGGAACCGGCGCCAGGACAGTGGATAGAAAGCCAATTAAGTGCCACCTAAGCGAGCTGATTATGACGAAATAAACACCGAAAAATTGGTTCCACCAGGCTTCAGCGACACGCCTTGGTTGCAATCAATAACGGAGTGAATCGGTCGGCACAACAGCGAGCGAATAGCAGTGTCTCAGCGAACCTAAACCGACGGTACATCATCATCAATCTACGAGTTAGCTAGAAGTGAGAAACATCTCAAGTATTGTGCCGCAATAAACAGGGAAGGGAGATGACAAAGAGGTACACCAGCTGAACAACCGGTGACGGAAGGACATTGTTCCGGAGAGTCAACATCCGGCTATTTGCCGCAAAAAGTGTGTCCGAAAAGAATCGTGGTTGGAAGGTGAAAGGACAAAGAAACTCACAACACAAACCCTACTGAGGTCGGCTCCTAGCCATGTCAACAAATGTATACGGCGAAATGTGTTCAGGATTTTTTCAACCCCAACCAAGAAGCCCAGAGGCTCCAACCAAGGCCAAGTTGCTCTCGAACACCACTCCTCTCCTTCCATTCACCTCCGCGTGCAAACAATGCACTTCGCGGGAGTGCTGGCGTGCACAATACGTGGCCCAGCTATCGGAGACTGATGCGTGACATAACGGTGCTGAGCGGTTCACTTCCTCTTCCTATGCAATAGACAAGGCACCGAAGACGCCTATTGCCCACTCGGTGTTCTCACAAGATGTGAGCCAAACTGCGAAGAACTAACGGCACAGGGTGCCGCACACTGATCAACTGTGAAAATGGAACGGACATGGGGTCGACCACACAAGCTAGCATGCGTCGCATGAACAAGGCAAAATTGTGTAAATCTAGCGTGAATGAAGTTCAACGTTGCCACAAAAAACGTAGATGCGAGTTTGACAGTGCCAGTGAGGCGGGCAAATGTACCCAAGCTGAGGCACAAAATGGACAGAAATCGGCTAGTGAAATGGGATACAAAGGGATAGCGACTCAAACTTTTGTAAAAGATGAATGAGTTGTGTCCATTAAAAACAGATTTTTAATCGCTTTCCAGACTTCGCTTCGACCCCTAAGAGACTGCACCATACTCAGGGCTCTCCGTAAATTGGAAAAGGCAATTTGTGACAACAAGACAAGAGTGCGAACGAACCGATGCGATAAAAACGATAAGTTAAAGCAGATCGTTGAAAGATGGAGGTAACAGAGACGACCGAACAGCCTCACGAAACTTGTGGTAGATGTGATCAGTGCTAAGCTTGTTATTACTGTCTGTCCACTAGGATCCGGAAGTAAACCATAAGGACTGAGACACCTGATTCCACATCACCATGAAAGTGAAGATAAAAGAGGTAAAACAGAAAAAACAAAGAGCGATAACAAAAAAACTCCCCGACTTGGACACGCCACAGCAGACCTCTTTCAGCTCTGGGTCTCAGCTATGACAAAACACAGCACCGCGGCTATGTCACAGGTTGTGTCCAACTTTGTTGCTGTCGCCGTATAATTGTGAGTTCTTACTCAAGTGGATTCGTTAAGAGCAAGGTTAAGGACAAACATACGAAGGCAGCCCAAGTGGAGCAAATGGTACAAAGTAACCGCAAGACTAAGTTGATTACTATCGGGCTAATTGCCAGGTCCCAATCATAGCCCACAGAAATCCATGCTCGGTGGTGTGCCAAATAAAAGCATCTCATCGGTGTCATCAAAACGCAGTTGCAATCGTTGGGAAATATTTTTTGTCACTGACTAGCGGATGTTCCACTGCTTCCGCAAGTGCTTGAATCTCAGAAAGGAAGCCCTAAGGCAAACAGATCATTTACGACGAAACTGTTTAGATGGGTGAAGATATTAGAAATCTAGACCAACTGATCGGCAATGTGATGAATAATGATGGAGCAATCAATGACAAACTTTGATGAACAGAGTAATATAATCTGCGTAGTCATATGAGAAAGCAAAAGTCCTAGGTAAGTGGTCGATCGAAAGTAGCAGTGCAAGGTACTCAACAAGAAAGTTGGCAATGCTGAATGAAAGTATGTAAAATAAACGTTCCGTCGGTCCGATATAGGCCCTTCAAGATTTGTCAGCAACAACAGTATACAGCCCGGAATAAAGAAACGGAATTTGTTTAACACTGCAGTCGCGTGTGACGGATCAGTCAAACAAAAGGGTAAATAAATGATGAATTTCTAGTACAACGGCTGGATGAGTGAATGGAACTTGAACAAGAGGCGACGACTAACCCAAACACTCCTGGACAAGTGAAGGTATAGCGTCGTTGACACAGTGAGACTGATTAACAAGCGGCAGTATTTTACATGCTTCAATTTTAATCGAAAATCCAGTGATAAACCAAATACTTCTAACAGGGTTGAAGGTCACTGGTCGCATGTTCGCCAGACGTTACTACCAGCAGCTAGGTCCGAGCGTGGCAAAACCGATTGCCAGTCTGGATATTGTCTCTACGTAGTGTCGGAAACCCCCATGCTCACCGACGTATTACGGCGTGGAGTGAACACAACCCCACTCACATACCATAAGGCGAAACTGCGTGCTAGCTTGAAAAGTGCCAGAGAAGCGTGGTAGTTACAACGCGTCCGAAATGGAAACTACAGCTGCCCTTAATAACCACCGGAAGTTATTCCGTCTGATATGGGAAATGGGTAACAGTGACCTGCTGTTAGCGAAACTATGAGCGAAGAGAGTGGACAGCGTAGCTACAGCTTGTCAAGACGATTGCAGCGTTGCGCCGAACAGTGAAAAGCGATCTAATCGACCAGAATTGCTACTTTTATCGCCGGACAGTGATTGCTTTTCTCCCTGGACCGTCGTCTTGAAGCCGCTATCTCGCGAAGAGGTCGAGCGTGAGATGGGACTGCTGAAATTGCATAAGAGCGCAGGATCAGATAGGAAACCATTTCTTATAGATGATTTGAACGGTTTATTAGCGAAACTGTGGGGACAAGAAACATCTAACTGACTGGAGCTGTTCATCGAGTCCCAATTTTTAAAGGAGACTCACACTCGGAATGCGGTGATTATAGCGACTAAAACAATCAGTTCCTCTCGAAGCACAGTGAGAAGACGAATTTCGGCAGATACATGATTTTCGTATCGTCTCTTGAGTGCCGATAAGGATAACTGGAAATTGTGAACTACAGTCGAATGTTGCAGACAAGCTTCCAGGCAAACGAAAGGGAAAACGGATATATTGCCCCTACATCTAGAGACTGGTCAATAATTGCCTCCGAACACGAAATACCAGTTAAATCCGACTTAATGCAACCGACCGGGGAAAAGAAGCGAATCGGTATGCCGCAGCAGAACTTCGAATGACGTGCTGATCTCAAACCAGTCTATAAGTACCGGCCGATCGAAGATGCTGGTAGTCTGCGTGAACATACTTGATGCGCCGACTCGAACTGGACCCACTTTGTCACGTGCTCCTTCAGTCAAGAACTCAGGGTCCTATCGGTTCTGTTTGTTTGGAAGTACGTCTACCCAAACCAGCGATGGTATATAATTTGGTTATGGGCCCTGAAGAAATGATACGAAATGCACGTATCCGCCAAATTCGTCTACTCACTGTGCTTAACAAATTGAGCTTAATTACCTTAAAGTTGCTTGCCTCTGTCGTTCTGTACAGATTATCTGACACCCGTGTAGGTCAGATACGTGTGATGCTAGCCGGGTTTCGTTGAAATGGCCAGGTATCGAATGTGCCTTCGATGAAGTGCATCAATGTGTTCTTTGGGACCGTTTAAGCAGGCAAAGTGCGCCCGATAAATACACAAGTAGCGGAGCGCTTTACGCGCGTATTTCGGGCAGAATGACTAAGGAAAACTGTCACCAATCTTTCTATAGCTTCAGCGAGATGAGGTAAGAATGCCAGCAAAGCTTTTCTTGAGGATTGGCAGGATCCATCTAATGCGATACTCTTGGTGGGGATTGTCGCGTGGCCCTCTGTGAATCAAAAACCAAAATCCGGGTCACGATCAAAAAATCGAGTTGATCAGAAGGCTAACATTAGTTATAGGACAAACTGCGCACCGCTGAGCGATTCCGATTCGTTCATCCTTGATGAGCCGCCACTGGCTGAAAAAGCGTATTCATTGATCGAGCCAAGTGGCCGTGCGCGCTTACGAGATGCTTCTCGCTCATGCGCATAGGCGGTTGCTTGACTGGCGGCGATCGATCAGCTTTCAGACGGTCGTCCCAGAACTGCTCAGCTCATCCATTCGATAGTCAACCAGCATGAGTAATGCTGCAAATCAACACCACAGGGATCAACCAAAAGTCGCTCAAAAAGTTAACTACCTGAACAGCTGTCAGTGCCTAAGGAAGAGAGTAGGAAGTGACAAACAGTATGACAAAAGCTCGAGGCGCTTTCACTCAACTCTGCCACTTTTGGCGCCGAGTCAACATCACTCTCATACTGAGGGACAGAGTCTACAGTGTTGTTGTCCGTTTAAAGGGTTGTGAAATCTGGCCAATCAAAATGCCTGTAGTTAAGTTCGACCACCAGTGTCTTCGCACCTCAGGTCACATGTGTGGGAACAACGCGCAAGTGAATTGTCCAGCATTAAGCTCCGATGGCTGGGCCATGTTTTGCGCATGCCAATACACCGGCTTCCGCGACGCGCGACATCAAGGTGGAAGAAGAGGCGAAACCAACCAATGAATTGGTCAGAAAGAAAGAAGGCACTCATCTCGAAGCAGCTTCGGCTGTACCCACCGGCTCCCGAGTTGAGGTTTAAAAGGAGATATTTGTAGGGACACATGAGTTGATATGACGAAAAGCCGACCTCAATGGTATTTGTGTTGTGAGTTCTTTTGTCCCGCT